TGGATGACTGACCGACTTACTGCATGATTCATTCGACTGACTTCCAGGTGCGTTGATTGGTGGTGGCATGCAGTCACCGAATTCTGTCCACTGGCTTCGATGTGTGCGTGTCGGTGGGTGCTATCCTATGTTGGTGCAAAGGGACAATGAGTAGGTTGAATGATGATATCAGGTGGATGGACGGAATACGATGTTCATAGGAGAGATGAATCGATTTGTCAGAGTGTATGACTGAGTGGAATGGGATGTTGTGGTGAAGTGGTTAAGCATGTTGGTGTTAGTGTGACAATGTGTCTGTATGTGTGTGTCTGTGTGCATTGGTCCGTGCGTGGATGCGTCCTATTATGTGTGTACATATGTGTGTGTGTGCGCGTGTGTGCGTGCGTGCGTATGTTGTTCGAGTCGGCGTTGTGATGATTGGTGTCGAGGTTGTGGTGTGTTATGGTCACTCCGCTTGTCGGTGTATTTTTTTTCAGTTGTGTTTGTCAGGCATTTTCAGACGCTTGATCGATGGAGAATGTGACAGGTGTAATCTGGAGGGAGAGGAGTTCTCGTTGCATTGTTGGTGGTTGAAAGATTTGTGTATCTGTTGGCGTGCATGTGTATATTGACAGGGTTTGTGAAGTGTATGTGTGAAAGTGACCGATCGATCATCTGTGAATGGGTTAGAGCGGAATTCAGACTGTCTGGCGGACTGGTCGATTGCATTGTGCACGTGTCAGGATTTCCGTGTGGACGAGAATCGACGGTGAAATGACGATGGGTGGTGGCGTCATTGTCGGTGAGTGAGTTATGAGTTGATGATGCATGCGTGTGTAGGTGTGGGCACATCAGAGTGTCTCAGTGTGTGTTAGTGTGTGTTTTGTGTGGTAATTGTTGTGCGTGTATACATGTGACAGAGGAGACAGATCAAAATCCCTGCCCCCAGAGAGAATTGAACTCTCGACCCCTGGTTTACTAGACCAGTGCTCTAACCACTGAGCTATGGGGGCACGCATTCACCGCCCTACACATTTACCCTCTCCAATCAACAACACACTAACACTAACTACTACAAAACAACTACAATCATCCCCCTCATCTACACTTCTTGTAGGGGACTAATATTAGAGTTCACTAACATTCCAAGTATAAAAGTAATAATCCAAGTCAGTGGAGTGTTAAATCACAATATATTACCAAAAATACAGTGACGAGTTATAGCAACAAAAAGGATTACTTGGTTATAAATTATAAGTCCTCGGCTACAAATTAATTATATAATCCACAGGCACGTTAACTGTTTGGACTGCGTCTGCTGTAGCTGCTGTGTTCCGGTTGTAGAAATGTCTTCGGTTGAGAGTAGTAGGCTCCTACAATAAATCCGAAGTATACAACACGGTGTGAGTGGAGCAAGTAAGCAGAAGTAACCAGGGAGAAGACGAAGTCTCCAACAGCAGAGTGTATTTTTCAATTGTACACGGAAGTTATGTATATTTCAACAAGAAGCGTTTTAAACAAAAATTATGTACAATATCTCGAATTTATACAAGTAACCAAAAAGTGTACAATCACATTGTTACGTACTCAACACGGCTCCCCCCTAGAGGTCCGGAGAGACAACCGGGAAATGATAAGTAAAACTATGAAGTAAATAATAATAGTAATAGCAACTTTTGGATAAAAATAGGGATATATTACAACATGCATAAACGCGAGAAGGTATGTGAGTCATGTAAAGTCTGAAAGCATATACAATTGGTTCAGCAATAAAAATTGAAATAGAAAGTCATGTCACTTAAATTTGCACTAACCATGAACATAGATTTTTAATGTATAAAGAAAAATATGTAAATACACAGTAATTAAGGAGGGGAAAGAAACATTAAAAAAATATGGATTAAAGATCAATAGTTTTTGGAAAGGACACTACCTGTTTTTTCGGTGAGGTACATATAAATAAATAATAGTGATAGTAACATCAAAGTTTACGACGAAATACTAACCGTCATGATGATAATGTCTAAACGAAAAAGATAATAATAATTTTTAATTATTTTTCTTTTGTTAGTCCTCAAAATGAACGTAGCGAGCCGGTTTACTGATTTGCCGACCACTACGTGTGTGATATGGAGGGAGGATAAGACTTGGTGCCGGTGGAGGGGATTCGGATGTTTGATTATTTGATTGCGCAGCTGCCGATGTAGATTCGAAGTCGTTGTCGGTGTATGCGGGTTTGATTCGATCAATTGAAACAGTCTCTCGTCTTCCATTCTTGTTCACTGTAAAGTGTTTGTCTGAACGTTTAATAACTTGAAAGGGTCCTTCGTATGGAGGTTGCAATCCTTTTCTGATGGCGTCGACTCGAATGAAGACGAATTTGCAAGTTTGTAGATGTTTGTTGATCTGATCTCTTCGGGGAGATTGTCGAGGTGCTGTTGGTTGAAGTTGAAGCATTTGTCTAGTTAATCGGTTAGTGAAGTCGGCAATGTTCACGTCTGTGGAATCGGCTGAGGGGACTAGCTGTCCAGGCAAGGTTAGGTTGGTGCCATAGACAAGTTGAGCCGGTGTACATCCTAAATCTTCTTTGATAGTAGAACGGATACCAAGTAAAATCAAAGGTAAGTATTCACTCCACTTAGATGTATCATTCTGCGCCATCAGGGAGCTTTTCAGTTGTCTGTGGAATCTTTCCACTAGACCATTCGCTGCCGGATGATAGGCTGTTGTGGAGATATGTTTCACTCCCAGAAGTCTCGTCAGTTCGCGAAAGAGTGTCGATTGGAATTGAGGACCGCGGTCGGATGTAATAGTAGTTGGTACACCGTAGTTTGACACCCAACGGTCGAGAAAAACTAAAGCAACGTTTTCAGCAGATATGTCGTTTAAGGGGCATGCAATAGCCCAACGAGTAAATCTATCAATCGCTGTCAGGATATGTGTATATCCCCTTGATGTTGGCAATGGTCCCACGATATCTATATGGATATGCTGAAATCTCCTTTCGGGTAATTTAAACGTCTTCGGGGTTGTAATAGTGTGGCGGTGTACTTTGGAGCATTGGCATTGGATACATTCTCGTGCCCATCTCCGAATGTCAGAGTTCATTTTAGGCCACACGAAGCGTTCGCCGATCAGCCTGACCGTGGCGCGTACTCCAGGGTGGGAAAGCGAATGTAAATGTTCGAACAATGCTTTTCGGCAACTGAGAGGGACAAATGGACGATTAGTGCCGGTAGATACATCGCAGACTATGGTTGCATCCGATAAGGGGATAGGCACATCTTTGAGTTGTAAGGAAGAGTTTCTGCGGCAGGTTTGGAGTTCAACGTCATCTTTTTGTAATTGAGCCATACGATCAAGACTGATGTCTACCGACGTTTGGAGCTGGTTAATGTCACTTCTTGAAAGAGAATCGGCTACCACGTTCGCATCCCCTTTGATGTACTGAATGTCGGTTGAAAATTGGGAGATATAATCCAACTGTCTGGCTTCTCTAGGGGAGTGTTTATCAAGTGAAGTAGTGAAAGCATGACACAGGGGCTTGTGGTCAGTAAAAATAGTGAAATGCCGGCCCTGTAGTAAGTAACTGAAATGCTTCACTGCAAGATATATGGCCAGCAATTCTCTCCCAAAAGTGCTGTATCGTGTCTGAGCCGGTTCCAACTTCTTAGAAAAGAATGCGAGTGGGGTGACTTCGCCCTTCATCTTTTGTTGTAATACTGCCCCCACTGCTACCTGTGATGCATCTGTACATAAAATGAGTGAAGCTTCTGGGTTGATGTGAGATAACATTACGACGTTGGATAAGGCATCTTTTGCATTATTAAATGCTGCTTTTGCTTCTTCAGACCACTGAAATTTCTTCGAATTGCATCTAAGTAGGTCGGTCAGTGGCTGAACTATGGAGGCACATGATGGAATAAAACGTCGGTAGAAGTTGAACATCCCGAGAAAACGTCTAAGTTTCTTTAAGGAATCAGGTTCGGGAAAGTTCTTAATAGTTTCTATCTTATCTTCGGTAGGTCTGATGCCTTCGGCAGTTATTCGATGTCCTAAGAATTCAATGGAAGGGGAACCAAAAATACATTTCTTTGGATTGATAACAACTCCAAATTGTTCAAACCTTTGAAATAACAAGCTTAAGTGTTGCATATGTTCTTCCGTCGATGAGCTGGCAATTAAGACATCGTCGATATATACAAAGACGAAATCAAGACCTTGGGTAACTTGGTCCATAAAACGTTGAAATGTTTGAGCAGCATTCTTTAGTCCGAAAGGCATTCTCAAGAATTCGAATAATCCAAAAGGCGTAATAATTGCTGTTTTTGCAATGTCTTCTGGAGCGACTGGTATTTGATGATATGCCCTCACCAAGTCAACTTTAGTAAAAATGGTCTTTCCATGTAAGGTCAAGGAGAAGTCGTGGAGATGAGGTATAGGATAACGATCTGGTACCGTAGCGTTATTCAAAGCGCGATAATCTCCACATGGTCGCCAGTCATGATTAGTTTTAGGTACCATGTGCAGAGGTGAAGACCATGGGCTGTTAGATGGTCGTATGATACCTAACTGCATCATATGTTCAAATTCCGACTTAGCTGCTGCTAGTTTATCGGGTGGTAACCGTCGTGGACGTGCCTTCACAGGTTGTCCTGTTGTGATGATTTTATGCGTAACTGTATGAGATATATCTTCAACATTGTATGATGGTTTAAGGATTTTAGGAAATCGTTGCAATAAAGCAGAGAACATTTCACTCTCCGGCTTTTCTATGCAGATGCTATGAACAGAGTAGTCGCATGTAATACCATGGATCTTGAGTTGGGTGCAATTGTCAACCAGTTTTTTCTTGCTGATATCAACCAACAGATTGAAGTGACTTAGAAAGTCTGCACCTAGTATAGCGTGACGTACGTCAGCTACTATGAAGATCCATGTGAAACGTCGGCGTAGTCCCAAATTTAAAATCATTGACTGTTCGCCATACGTCTGTATGTTGGTTTGGTTGGCAGCACGGAGTGAAAGTTTTCCAGGTATTTTGGCTGATCGCCTGGATAGTGAGGGGGGGATAACACTGACCTCGGCGCCTGTATCTACCAGGAATAATGTGCCGGTAGTCAAATCCCTCACATAAAAAAGGCGACTGTGGTGATTGCCAGTAACAGCTGTCGCCATCACTGTCTGGCTGAGGCGTTTCCCTGAGCCTGGTTGGCTTCGCTAAAGCTGCACGGTTTTACACATTTCAGGGCATGACGTCCAAACTTCCAGTGATACCAGCATATATTGCTATCCCGAGAAGACGTGTAAGAACGCTGTCGTGAGAAGGATCGTCGTCGTGATGGTGACCTTCTCTGTGAGCTCCGTCTCCGGACTTGTCGATCAGACTTATTAGTTTCCAACTTGTCAATCCTTGCCGCTAAGTCTGCAATGGCGGCGAGTATCGGTGTGTCTGCCGTGGGTGTGGAATGACACGGTGTGGCACTATCAGATGCTACGTGACTTATGGTGTTATCGGATAAAACATCCAAAATACTATCTGCCATGTCACTTAGTTGGTCTAAGTCATACGACTTTCCTGAGATGATTAAAATTTGCTGGACATTTCTAGGTAAACGTTGCAACCACATCTGTTTCAGCACTACCTCGTCTACTTTATGATTTCCGATTAACTGGCGCATGTGCCTGAGCAGCTGGGATGGTTTACGTGGGCCTAGATCACAGCCTGTGAGCAATTGTTGGATTCTTTTCTCATCCGACAGACTGGTACGTTGTATGAGGAGGGCTTTAAGTTTATCAAATTGATGTTCCGTCGGAGGATCTTCGATGAAATCGCTGATTTCTGTCAATACTGACGGAGGGAGTTCTGCCAGCACCATACCATATTTGGCTATTTGGGACTTAATGCCCCGTGCTTCTAGCAACGGTTCAATTACCGCAAACCAAATCCTTGGTTCTGCGAAACCGTATTGGGGTAAACGAAAATCAGTGATGGCATTTATTGTGGCATTTGTCTCGCTATTAGTTGTCTGCTCGTTTGATGTACCGGACTGAGGTGATGACATTATAAATATGGGGTTATTGGTGCAAATTAGGATACAAATATAAACCACACACAAAATCACAATGAATATAAAAATAGCAAAAATAAGAATATGAATATGCCAAAATAATCCGTGTTCTTATCGGGCTCACCAATTAATTTGTAGGGGACTAATATTAGAGTTCACTAACATTCCAAATATAAAAGTAATAATCCAAGTCAGTGGAGTGTTAAATCACAATATATTACCAAAAATACAGTGACGAGTTATAGCAACAAAAAGGATTACTTGGTTATAAAGTATAAGTCCTCGGCTACAAATTAATTATATAATCCACAGGCACGTTAACTGTTTGGACTGCGTCTGCTGTAGCTGCTGTGTTCCGGTTGTAGAAATGTCTTCGGTTGAGAGTAGTAGGCTCCTACAATAAATCCGAAGTATACAACACGGTGTGAGTGGAGCAAGTAAGCAGAAGTGACCAGGGAGAAGACGAAGTCTCCAACAGCAGAGTGTATTTTTCAATTGTACACGGAAGTTATGTATATTTCAACAAGAAGCGTTTTAAACAAAAATTATGTACAATATCTCGAATTTATACAAGTAACCAAAAAGTGTACAATCACATTGTTACGTACTCAACACATTTACCCTCTCCAATCAACAACACACTAACACTAACTACTACAAAACAACTACAATCATCCCCCTCATCTACACCACTCACCTCACTGGACTGACAAACAAATATACAACCGTCAACACATCTGTCTACAACACACGACTCAGACAACAACCACACTGTGACACGCACATCAACCGTTACAACACTGAATCCACACACCATCTCATCACTCTGCATTCATTCCCACCTCGGTCAACTACGATCAATCTGTCCACTCTCCAACTATGCTCACACCCACATCGTCACAGTCACTCGCTCGACAACAACGCGCGTCACACACACACACACATGTACACATAGGCACACAGAGACAGATAGACAGACGGACACGAGGCAGACAAGCACCCACCTCCTCCTCTTCACACTGACTAATTGAACCTCCACTCCAATTTCTCTGGAAGCTCATCACCAGTCTCCAACTTCAATGTCCATTCCTCCATTGACTAAGGGACACGCGTGAATGGGTACTACACCGATATACTGGTCGACTGGATTATCCAATTCATCTGTGCACTCGTCATTCCACTTCATCTTCATTCACTCTATCCTTTGGAGATGACTGGAGTCGATTCCAGACGACACATTCCATTTAGCGGAGAAAGATGACTGGATGACTGACCGACTTACTGCATGATTCATTCGACTGACTTCCAGGTGCGTTGATTGGTGGTGGCATGCAGTCACCGAATTCTGTCCACTGGCTTCGATGTGTGTGTGTCGGTGGGTGCTATCCTATGTTGGTGCAAAGGGACAATGAGTAGGTTGAATGATGATATCAGGTGGATGGACGGAATACGATGTTCATAGGAGAGATGAATCGATTTGTCAGAGTGTATGACTGAGTGGAATGGGATGTTGTGGTGAAGTGGTTAAGCATGTTGGTGTTAGTGTGACAATGTGTCTGTATGTGTGTGTCTGTGTGCATTGGTCCGTGCGTGGATGCGTCCTATTATGTGTGTACATATGTGTGTGTGCGTTCTTTCGTTCTTGCGTTCGTGCGTATGTTGTTCGAGTCGGCGTTGTGATGATTGGTGTCGAGGTTGTGGTGTGTTATGGTCACTCCGCTTGTCGGTGTATTTTTTTTCAGTTGTGTTTGTCAGGCATTTTCAGACGCTTGATCGATGGAGAATGTGACAAGTGTAATCTGGAGGGAGAGGAGTTCTCGTTGCATTGTTGGTGGTTGAAAGATTTGTGTATCTGTTGGCGTGCATGTGTATATTGACAGGGTTTGTGAAGTGTATGTGTGAAAGTGACCGATCGATCATCTGTGAATGGGTTAGAGCGGAATTCAGACTGTCTGGCGGACTGGTCGATTGCATTGTGCACGTGTCAGGATTTCCGTGTGGACGAGAATCGACGGTGAAATGACGATGGGTGGTGGCGTCATTGTCGGTGAGTGAGTTATGAGTTGATGATGCATGCGTGTGTAGGTGTGGGCACATCAGAGTGTCTCAGTGTGTGTTAGTGTGTGTTTTGTGTGGTAATTGTTGTGCGTGTATTTGTAAGTGTTTAGGTTAGACTTAAGATATTCTTCGATATCACCACACTTACTAAAATCTTCACCGTCTTATGACCTTACCAGTACTCTACCTAACGTGTAAGTTCTGATTAACTCAGTAAAAGTTTAAAAGCTAACAATGGAAAGAATTCTTAGTATGAGTTGTATTTAACGTAAATGAATAACAGATTTAATAAATAAAGTGACTGTACAACTTATCTGCAGACGTTGCTGGAGGTAGGCTCGGAGAGTGTGCAGAAAGAGAGCACAACAACAGAGCGAACCAATGATCGTACGGAAGACTCACAACTCAAAAGCTAAAACGTGGATCACCGTGGGTGAGTCAGTTTAAACAAAAGTTCAAAGGTACAATGTGCCCTACAGGTTATCCCCCCCTAGATCGTTGGTGGGAAGCCAGCAAGCTTCGATATACAACAGTAGGATGGCTTGGCACAATAGCAATGGGTGAATGAGAAGGTTTGAAAATAGCAATAGTAAAAAAAGAAATTTTACCGAAAGGAAAGAAAGCAAAAGAAAAGAAAAAAAATTAAGGTAAGTTGGAAGTGGTATGTACATGATTAGTGAAGTAAGACGGAATATGATAAGAAATGACGCTGGTGCCTTGTGTGGTTGTAAGCTTCTGCGGTCTGATGTTGTTTTTTATTTTTTTTTTTCTTTTTTTGTCTTTCATATTTTTATTAATCTTTTTTTTTTATTGTATCGATTCATTCTTTTTTTTTTTTAATTCCGCACTATTACAAGCTTACTTATGTGGAGGTTTGATGGTAAACCTCTGGCGCCGAGGCTGTCGTAGCAAGAAGGTGACTCATTATGTCTAACTTTCATATTAGACCAATGCTCCCTTCCTCCGCTTCAACAGAACCTAGCAGTCATGTTAAAGGCAATCATTATACCAGCGTATGATAAGGAGCAGGGTAAAAAAAACAACAGAAGAAAATGGGAAAGAAGGTTAAGATTTCAAAATCGGTGTAAAGGTACTACAAAAGCTTGTGCGAAATCAATGCGAGGAAAAGTGGTGCAACTTGGAAGTAGTACGTTAGAATGAGATAAAACAAAGGAAGTTTCTACCCTGTGAGAACTTATAAAATTACAGAGAAGTTAGTACATAACCCATAGCTATGAGTAGTTATCATTACCAAAATTACTTTGTTCATGTTGCTAAGTGCATAACTAAGATGATGCATAATGTTTATAAGTACGGTTCACAAAATAAATGAATTGCAGGAGGGCATAAACCCGAAGGAATATAGTACAGGCTGTGAAAATAAATTGAGCGGATTACTATGTACAGCATAGAAGTGAAGCATTTATGCGCAAAAAAATATGTATATCTGTCCATTTAACTATACAGTGGAATTTTTTTTTTAAATAATCTTTTTTTTATTTAAAAAAATTTTTTGTTTATTTATTATTATTTTACATTTTTTTTACTTTTTTGTATTTTCTTTTTTTTTATAAAATTTTTTTTTTAATAATAATTAATTTTTTTTTTGGAAGAAAATGGGCAGTGAAAGGTAATATACTGTTCATAATTCCTCTTTTGGTGTGGGTTACAAGATGACATGAGAAGCCAACTGATCTAGCGAGTAGATTGAGATGAAATAGATGAAAAATTAGGGGTAAAAACAAACTGCTGCTGGTCCTCTGTAACGAGAGATAAAGATTAAAAGGATTAGTGAGGGTTAAAACGACTACTCCCAGAAGCGGGACCAAATAGATTAAATATAGCAGAATTGAATAAGAAATTGTGACAAGGAATAAAAAATCACTAGTAGCATTACCTATGGATTAGTTCAGTGAAAGAATTCTACGAACCTCTTGGGCCAGTGAACACGTCGACCAGCACGTGTGACAGGGGTCTTACTGGTGACGGTAGGAGAATCATCATTCACCACCGGAGGTGAGGTAGTTGAGTCTGGACAAGGACTAGGTTCAGTGGGGCTATTTGATTGAGCCGATGGGGAGGGTGAAGGTTCTTCAGTGTATGCCGCTTTAAGTCTGTCTATGCTGACAGTGTCTGGGCGGCCGCATCGGTCAATAACGAAAAATTTATCTTTACGACTAAGGACCTTAAAAGGCCCGTCATACGGTGGTTGTAATGGCTTTCGTATGGCGTCGTGACGCACGAAAACGTGTGTACAGTCATCAAGTCGCCGATCAACCTGAACCTTTCGGTTCTGAGTGCGTGTGGAAACTGGTCGGAGTCGCTGCATAAAACTTTTAAGTTGCTGAGCGTAACGGGTGGTATCCGGGAAATTTGGCTCGAAAGTTTCGGGAGCGATTAGCTCGCCTGGTAAACGCATGGTGGTACCGTACACCAATTCAGCTGGCGAGCACTGCAGATCCCCCTTAAGCGTAGCCCGGATGCTAAGCAGGACCAGTGGTAGCGAATCTGTCCACTTACTGTTGTCCACTGCCATCAACGCAGCTTTGAGTTGACGGTGGAAACGTTCTACTAGGCCATTTGCCGCGGGATGATACGCGGTTGTGCGAATGCGTTTGCATCCCAGCATCTCTAACAATTCTTTGAAGCTTGTGGATTCAAATTGTTGTCCGCGGTCGGTAGTGACAGTTGCGGGACATCCAAAATGGGCAACCCAGCCATCCATGAAGGCACGACAGACGGTTTGAGCCGTTACATCTGGTATCGGAATGGCTTCCGGCCAACGTGTGAAACGATCCACACATGTGAGTAAATACGAGCAGCCGTTAGACGGGGGCAGAGGCCCTACTATATCCAGGTGGATATGATGGAACCGAGCGTCTGGGGTCGCAAACGTCCCCAACGGCGTGATGTTATGCTTGGTGACTTTAGCACGTTGGCATTGCACACAAGCACGTGTCCATTGACGCACATCACGGTTCATACCGGGCCACGCAAATCTCGCAGAAATCAACTTGTCCGTTGCTCGTATGCCAGGATGGGAGAGGTTGTGGAGTGACTCAAACACAGTTCGGCGTAAAGACGTGGGAACAATCGGTCGAGGAGTACCAGTTGACATATCGCAAAGTATAGTTGCCTCACTGTTTAGCAAGGGGACGCGTTCTATCTTCAGTGAGGTTTTATTTGACAGGTGTTCTAAGTTCAAATCGTTCAGTTGGAGTTCGGCCATTTTATGAAGATCGATGGTTGGTGGTACGGACGTAGCACATACGCGAGACAAAGCGTCTGCTACCGCGTTATCCGATCCAGAAACGTGCTGGATATCAGAAGTGAACTGGGAAATATAGTCTAAATGGCGTGATTCTCGCGGTGAATACCGGTCTGAAGTAGTGTGGAGGGCGTACGTCAATGGCTTATGGTCGGTAAATACCGTAAATTGCCGGCCTTCCACGAAGTGACGAAAATGCTTGACAGCAGCGTAGACAGCGAGAAGTTCCCTACCGAATGTGCTGTATCGAGATTCGCATGCGGTAAGTTTACGTGAAAAGAAAGCAATCGGTAGCCATACATTAGCCATACGCTGTTGAAGGACGGCTCCGATCGCAGTATTAGAGGCATCTACGGAGATGCTGATTGGAAGTTGAACATCTAGATGGACCAACATTGTGGCGTCAGCAATAGCTTTCTTGATAGCTGCAAAAGCTGTCGAGGCTTCCTTAGTGAACACCAAAGACTTGCATTTCCCTTTAAGCATATCAGTCAAGGGGGTCACGATATGAGCACACTGTGGGATAAAGCGACGGTAGTAACTAACCATCCCGAGAAAAGTGCGTAGTGCCTTGGGAGAAGTGGGTAGAGGGAAGTTTTGAATAGCTTCTACCCGGTCAGGTAACGGATAAATTCCATCTTTGTCTATCCTATGTCCCAAAAATTTCAGGGAAGTGACTCCAATCTGACACTTCGGCAAGTTGAGTGTGAGGGAGTGTGTCACAAGTCTTTGGAAAACTGTCTGCAAATGAAGTTGATGAGTGGCTTCATCTGGACTAGCTACCAAGATATCGTCCAGATAGGCGAAGGCGAAATCAAGCCCGCGCAAAACGTCATGTATAAAACGCTGGAAGGTTTGGGCAGCGTTCCGTAAGCCAAAAGGCATTCGAAGAAACTCGAACAGGCCAAACGGTGTAATCACAGCAGTCTTAGGTATATCCTCGGGGTCGACGGGAATCTGGTAGTAAGCCCGTGTAAGGTCCAGTTTGCTGAATACTCGAGCTCCCTTGAGTGAGGCGGTTAAATCGTGTATGTGAGGGACAGGGTAGCGATCGGGAACAGTTTGTGCGTTTAGTCTGCGGTAGTCGCCACAAGGACGCCAATCTAAACCGTTATTCTTAGGTACCAGGTGCAACGGTGAGGACCACGGGCTGCTGGATGGCCTAATAATCCCCATTTCTAGCATATGCTCAAACTCCGCTTTGACAACCTTTAGTTTTTCTGGGGATAGTCGCCTCGGCTTTGCGAAAACTGGCGGGCCAGTAGTGACAATATGGTGTTTGACGTTGGAAGTCGCACATGGCAGGCCGCTGCTAGGTTTGAACAAATCTGAAAAAGACTGCAGTATATGCGAATAAGGACCAGTGCTAGTGGGTGTGGCATATACAGGGCTGAGGGCTGGGCCTTGTGTGACGATACCGCTGACGGAGAGGTTTGTGACAGGATCTCTTAACTTATGATTACCTGTATCTACCAGTAATTGGTAGTGCTGCAATAGATCCATGCCAATTATACCTGTGGTAACGTCTGCCACCAGGAAGACCCAACGAAGTGAACGACGCAAACCGATGTTAAGATCTATAAAGCGCCTGCCGAACGTAGCAATTGGCGAACCGTTTGCGGCTCGTAGTTGAAGAGACATTGGCCGCCTGCGCTCCTCTACTGTGGGTGGGATTACACTGACCTCTGCTCCGGTATCAATTAGGAAGCGTATCCCAGTGTTACGGTCGGTAACATAGAAGAGGCGACATGAGAGTGGTTCGCCAGCGACGTTAGTCGCCAGTACGTGCTGGCTTGCTAGTTTCCCGACTGTTGAACATCGAAGGTGCACGGGCGAGTGCACTTTTGGGCTTTTGCTCCGTAACGTCGATGATACCAGCACACTCCAGGCTGGTTACTTCGGGACTGTCGGCGCTTGCTGCTAGCACGTGGCAAGGGTCTACTACTACGCGAACTCGAGGGACTGCGTCCACGACTCCTGGAGTTCATCTCCTGTCGTATACTACAGATCTCCTCGTATAGCTTGGCTATATGGGCCACCGCGTCAAAGCTTGATGACCCCCCGTCAGACGAATCTTTAGTCTGAGCGGGAGCAGCAGTTACTGTTGCGGAAATGCCAATTTTGGGATTGATGGCCTCTACGGCTCTATCAGCTGCCTCGGCTATCTCCTGTAAGGGGTACTTGTAGATCGGTGCTAAGATACCCTGGACTGCCTGAGGTAATCTTTGAAGCCAAAGTTGTTTGAGAAAAACCTCGTCAATTTTAAAGTCCGCCACTAGCTGCTTCATCTGCCTCAACATTTGTGAGGGCTTGCGGTCACCTAACTGAACATCGCGGAAAAGTTCCTGCACTTTCTGTTGGTCAGTAAGTGCGACTCGTTGAATTAACGCCTGTTTGAGCCGCTCGTACCGATCCGGAGACGGATCTGCGAGAACGTCAGCCACCTCGTCTATGACACTTTCGGGTAGGCTCACAATCACGTGGTTTACTTTGGTCTCTTGTGAGTGTATGTGTCTAATGGCAAACTGAGCCTCTATATGATTAAACCATGCAGCTGGACGATGTGTCCAGAAGGCGGGGAGTTGCAGCGTTATAGCCATCTCTGACGCAGAACTGTTGTCAGCCATCTTGCACACAGGGCACAATATTAACAAGGTGATAAAAAAACCAATATAAGTACAAAGAAAACAAATCAAATCTTTATAACCGTGCGTGAAAGAAAAAAAAATAACAAAATAAACGGTACGTAAAAAGAATTGTTAACACGTTAAGCTACTATAGCGGAAAACGGTGAAAACGGGCTCACCACTTGTAAGTGTTGAGGCTAGACTTAAGATAGTCTTCGATATCACCACACTTACTAAAAACTTCACCGTCTTATGACTTTACGAGTACTCTACCTAACGTGTAAGTACTGATTAACTCAATCAAAGTTTAAAAGCTAACAATGGAAAGAATTCTTAGTATGAGTTGTATTTAACGTAACTGAATAACAGATTTAATAAATAAAGTGACTGTACAACTTAGCTGCAGACGTTGCTGGAGGTAGGCTCGGAGAGTGTGCAGAAAGAGAGCACAACAACAGAGCGAACCAATAAACGTACGCTAGACACACAAGCCAAAAGGTAAAACAGGGATCACCGTGGGTGAGTCAGTTTGAACAACAGATCAAAGGTACAATGTGCAATACACATACATGTGACAGAGGAGACAGATCAAAATCCCTGCCCCCAGAGAGAATTGAACTCTCGACCCCTGGTTTACTAGACCAGTGCTCTAACCACTGAGCTATGGGGGCACGCATTCACCGCCCTACACATTTACCCTCTCCAATCAACAACACACTAACACTAACTACTACAAAACAACTACAATCATCCCCCTCATCTACACCACTCACCTCACTGGACTGACAAACAAATATACAACCGTCAACACATCTGTCTACAACACACGACTCAGACAACAACCACACTGTGACACGCACATCAACCGTTACAACACTGAATCCACACACCATCTCATCACTCTGCATTCATTCCCACCTCGGTCAACTACGATCAATCTGTCCACTCTCCAACTATGCTCACACCCACATCGTCACAGTCACTCGCTCGACAACAACGCGTGTCACACACACACAAACACACATATACACATAGGCACACAGAGACAGATAGACAGACGGACACGAGGCAGACAAGCACCCACCTCCTCCTCTTCACACTGACTAATTGAACCTCCACTCCAATTTCTCTGGAAGCTCATCACCAGTCTCCAACTTCAATGTCCATTCCTCCATTGACTAAGGGACACGCGTGAATGGGTACTACACCGATATACTGGTCGACTGGATTATCCAATTCATCTGTGCACTCGTCATTCCACTTCATCTTCATTCACTCTATCCTTTGGAGATGACTGGAGTCGATTCCAGACGACACATTCCATTTAGCGGAGAAAGATGACTGGATGACTGACCGACTTACTGCATGATTCATTCGACTGACTTCCAGGTGCGTTGATTGGTGGTGGCATGCAGTCACCGAATTCTGTCCACTGGCTTCGATGTGTGCGTGTCGGTGGGTGCTATCCTATGTTGGTGCAAAGGGACAATGAGTAGGTTGAATGATGATATCAGGTGGATGGACGGAATACGATGTTCATAGGAGAGATGAATCGATTTGTCAGAGTGTATGACTGAG